ATAGACCATGTTTCGGTTTATCTGATTCAAGTGGCAGCATGAACTTGCTGCCTCAATTCATGAACTGCCTGACTGCATACTGAATAGATTCATGCTTCAGTTGATCTGCTTGATCAGGCACTTGCACTGTTGCCTGTTGCTAGGGTCTACCAGTTTTACTGAATTATAATGAAAGTACAGGACAAAAACAGGTCATTCGAACCAACATGTCCAAGTCAGTGCTTGCACTTAACATGATCCTCCGCTCACTTCTCTTCATCAACATATCCTTCTATTCTGTTCTGTTATGTGCCTATTCAGTCCTCCTTTAAACACATGTACATCATTCAACTCAACCTCTCATAGTCGCAGAATGTCCTATCTTTTGATCACAATCTGGGTAAAGAGATTTCTTTTGCCTCTTGAGGAAATACTTTTGCATATGAAATAAGATATCAATGAAGGTCATCATCTAAAATGTTGCATATGTTATTACCAAGGCTGGAAGAGGGCACTGAATTTTTCCAGGCCCACAACTCCAAAGGGCACAACATCAGTCGACCTGGTTTTTTGGTTCCCTATATGGCATTCGTATATTTTCACTACGTTGGACCTAGAATGAACGGATTCATCAATCAAGCTTCTGTAATAATTACAAAATTATAAGTTTATTAAAAAAACAAAACTTATACCACAAACTACAAACTTGATTAGCACACATTAACGTTTACACCTTATAATAGGCCAAAACAAACACCCATACACATACACACACTGGTGCACACATGCACACACACTTTCTGTTAGCAAAGGGTCACTTTGGGGAATAAGTTTTTGGCTAATAAGCTTCAGTTTTGAAGCAAAAATGATAAGGTTTGTGATAGTTGTTGGCTTGACATTCTGGCATGTGGAGACATGTATCACCTGACATGGGCATTTGTTTCTGGGTACTTGGCAGATGTAGCTTGCTCAGGAAGAACGGGGTTGAATTTTAATAAAATTTGCCTAAGTGTTGAGACTTGGGAGTTTCAGGGAGGGTTTCTCTTTCCGAGCCTTAGCAATTCATCTCATGCAATTGTCTGCTGCACACCTTAATATATATACACCATGCATCTATGCCACCACAATCATGCTATCATGCACTTATCAGCACTGGAAGTACTCACCATTGTTGGAACCTTCTGAGATTTCTGCCACTGGGTCCATATTTAAAGTCCAGCCATGCAGCATGTCAGTCACTGGCAGTCACGAATATCTCTTTACAGTGCACATAGTGGGAGGGAAATGCAAAGGAACATCTTCTGAGGAAACATTGTGGTCAAGTGACCACAGGACCAGAATTGGACATTCTAAATTGACCCAGTGCCCTGACAAAAAATTGGCCAAACTAAATTAAACAGCAGCTAGCAACTTTCAGCTATAGAGGACAGTAGAAACTAAGATCAAAGGGGTCACAAATATTTAGGGGGAACCAATTACAACCAGCCCGAATGTTGTATATTGCTGAAGTATCGATCAGACTTTCTGGCACTTTGTCTTCAGCTGGTACCTGAGGATGTACACTTTGCACTTCCCAGCATGGCAACAGTGAAGGGTGTTGGAGCAACCCGTTGGATGCTTTGAAGTCATTGACCACAGTCCATAGACCATTCAGGAAGGTCTGGAAGGTCAGGAAGGTTGGGGATAAAAACACACACCTGGAAACCATCCCCTCAGCAAACACGCACAGCAAGACTCATGGAAGAAGACCGTGTAACAACCCACAAAGACCCAGAAGATCCACACTGACCTTAACGACCCACCTTCGGGGAAGAGATCAGCTAAACATTGGAGAGGAAGGACATTCCAACAGCTCAGCTCAAACATGGATCATTGCAGGTAATATCCTTTCTCAGACAGATAGGACTAGATGCACAGTAAATATTGTGGGGATTTGGAAATATTCACATGATGTTTTCACTAAGGAATATTTTGTTAATAAAATTGAGCTGAACCGCAAACCGAATCCTGCGTTCCTTTATCTGGCTCACCAACAGGAGCAAAGTGTTTTTGATACAGAATCTGATTGCAGTCTCCAAAGCACAGACAACATTGGTGTTGCTGGCTGGTTTTTCATTAGAAGTGTTCGTATAACCTCTGAAGTGTCCAAAGCATGGACAACAACAGAGTTAACTTGGGTGACTCTTGGAAATTGAAGCCCACGTTCGAAAATGTATTGATACATCAACAAATGTCTGGTTGACTGTCATTATAGCTTCAGCTATGAGAATGAAGATACACAGGCTACACATCCTTAGTGCCATACCATATTACAACTCTGTCAAAGGAATGTCACTTTTACTCTCATGCTGAGCAAAGTTCAACACTTTTTCATTGTTGAATGTGGGAGCATCATATGCTGGAAACACTTCAAACAATTGGAAACATTGATTTTTATCCAACAACAGGAAAAATGAAGAAGAAAAAAAGAAAATCTTCATTTGTTTCTGAGAACAAACAAAGGCTGCTTCCCTTTTGAGCAACAACAAATTTACAGTCAATGAATGACCATTTGGAAGCGGGTCTGGCTTCTTGGACCTGAAGCTACAGCATTCTATCATGCTGAAGGTAATGTTTCTCTGGCTCAATGTCCTTTTCTTCCTCCTTGGAAGACTGTTGCTGCTGTCCCAGCTCACCAGTGTCCATCATTCTGTCTTTGCGTCTTCAAGCTGTACAGGGCACAGTATGTAAGGATAAGGCAGCGTACTCTGTCTGAATTGTACTGGAATGCCACCCCAGACCAGTCCATTCAATGGGACCCTATCTCCAGCAGGCCTAATATCTGCTTCACAATGGTCTTGGTGGAAGAATGGGCAAGATTGTATCTACGTTCGGCCTCAGTTTGTTGATGACTTCTGTCCAAGATGGAGGACTCTTACTTTCATGTCAGGAATATTTTTCCCTCTTTAGATAACACTTCCCCTGCAACCTACATGACATAGACTTGAGGATTGTTTTAACGAGTCGTTTGGCATCAATGAGACATTTTAGCTGGGGGAAGATGTGAGGAGATAAAATCCTGGCCATTCTAGGTCATTCCTATATATATTGGCTGTGCAGTGTATTCATGAGCCCAAGATAATACCTAGAGATTAGGAATTTATTTTGGACTATAGAGACGTTCAAAATTGAATACAATAAAGCTGATATTTTGTGACCTGCAGGCAAAATGATAGGCAGAATGTCCTTCTTCTGTCTGTATGATTATATGAGCTCCTTTCTAAAGTAATGGCACTTGCTGCATCAAAATTTTTCCCCGAAATGCCTTAAGGCAACCTTATTACATTAAAGGTGCTATGTAACTTAAGGTAGTTGTTAAGGCAATAATGGTAATGTCCAGAGTCCTTAATGTTCAGTGGACATGGGTTTGTATCCCACCACAGTAGATAGCAAAATTTTAAATCAATAAAAGAAATCAGGATTTAAAAACTAGTCTAATGGTGACCATATATCACAGCTGATTGTTGTTAAAACCCATCTAATTTAATAATATCCTTTAGGAAATGACCTTACTTGCTTTGGCCTTCATACTGAAGTTGTCTAGCAAATAATTCTGCATGTTGGAGAGGAATGCATCCAAACTGGAGTTTTATATTGGAATAAGAGTGAGTGCTAGCATTCATATACTATAACAGGCTTTCACAGAACCAGATCAGTGCAGTTGGAATAGCTCTTAACATTCCCAGCGGATCATGAGATTCTGAATCTGGGAAGTTTTCAAGCTCTACTGTAGCCTGATAAAATTGAACATGTGACCAAATGGGAAAGATTCCAACAATTTAAATTGCTCCAGTGGAATAATTGAAAAGATTTCTGTGAGGCAGTTAATTAGTGCACTCGTTTCTGTGTCCCTAATGGTTGGCAAAGATTTTCTTATAACACTGAGAGAACTTTAATCTATTTTCTTGACAGTTGTATTTAACCACCCATACCAAAAGTGGCCTCAGTGGTTGCAATACCAGAAATTATATTCTTACATTGGGTTAAGTTGGGATCTGGAAGAGAGTGGCTCTTTTGCAGAAAGAAGCTCCATTCAGCTCCTGTCTTTGACATCCTCTTCAACCCATGCTCACATGCTGATGGTCTTACAAGGATGGTTACTGGGAGATAAGGATTACCCTCTGCAATGAAGGCTGATGACCTTCTGTTATGTAACCTCCTGATGGAGACAGGGTGTAGATAGAATACAGCCCATTCTTCAACCAAGGCCATCATGGATGGATAAAGATGTGATGGACTCTGTAGAGCTAGGAGAACAACAGCATTCTTCTGAGGAGAAAGAGGAGGACATTGAGCAGGAGGAGCATCTCCTTCTGCATGATGGAGCACAGCAGCATCAAGCGTGACAAACCAGACTGAAATTAATTGACATGTGATTCCAGTAGATGTGAGCTGGGTGCAGTGAGCACTCATTGACTGTAAATTTGCTGGTTGACAGGCCAGCAGTCCATTTCTGTTCCCAGAGGCAAATGCAGCTTCAGTTTGTTTGGCTTTTGTTTGTTTTGCTGTTGCTGAATAGAAGTGAGTGCTTTGAAGCGTTTGAAAGCTTTTCAGTATATTGAACAATGAACAATGAGAAGATTCTTGCCTGCACAGCACGTTGGGGAAACAGTAAAACTCCCATAGGCAGGGTTGTGAGATAGGATGAGGCTAAGGATAAGCTGTGCAGCTTGGTTCTTCAATAACAATAGATGTAAGAATGTACTCTCACATGTGCAATGAGGCATCAGCCATGCTTCCTATGTGTCCTGAGAAGATGTAGTGATTGGAACCAGGTGGACCCTGTTAACTATGAGATTATTGATTGGGAGTTATTAACCTGGGCCAATCAGGAAAGACTTAGCTGACCAATACAACCAGGAGATCAAAATCTGCTCAGTTGAGGACTGACTATCAGTTGGCTGGCTGTGTCCAGTGTCCAGTGTCCAGTGTCCAGTGTCCAGTGTCCAGTGTC